CAAGCGTGGGTTTTAACGAAAAAAGATGCAAAGGGAGAAAAGAAAACAAATATATATGTTTAGTCCAAGACTAATAATTATAAACATGAATGACAAATATATGACCAAAAAAATTTGATTTTTTTTTTTATGATAAAGTGAAATATCAATTATTTAGTGTCACTTCTTCATAAGAGGCTCATTAGCAAGGAAGCGTTTGCCTTAGAACCTTGATGACGACACTAAAGCGCACATAAAGCGAGGCGAAGCGCTCAACACATTTTGAGCCTCACTTTAGGGCTTAAGCGCACATTTGATAACACTGACTGGAATATCATTACCGCTATTTAGCTCCGTCCTAGAATCTCACTTCGGGTCAACAGTCAGATATATCACTAAAAGGAGTAGGGTTTGGAACGAGTCTAGGTAGTCATCACCATTGGAATTGCTTAGTTCTCCCATCCCTTGATCCCCAGTTCCTCAAATCTGTTGTGAGTTTGTCTTGCATGTATCTCAATATTAACTATGTCAAAAACTTGGGCTACAACATTCTTCTGCTATGTTTTTTAGGCCCAAGGTTTCATTCCTCATAAGTTGGCCTGCTACAACAAATAAAGGTCCTTTCCCTTTCCTGTTCGCCTCACGTACCTCCAATTTAAAAATTCGCTAGCTGTTTAAGTTCCCACGTGGTGGACTGTCTGATCCACAGAGTTTATCACTAAGGGATCGTTTGGTAGGGTGTATACAAATAATGTTAAATAGAGTGTATTTTTTTGATAATGGTAACTTTACTTCTATATATCCACAGGTATACTACAACTAAAGTGTAGTTCCCCTTCAAAAGTATTACAACTTACAACTTGTAATTCAATTCTGTGCCTTACAAAAAGTTTAAAACATCACAAATATCTTTTGTTGGAGCTAATAGTTTTTGCTCACACCAAAAATAACAAAAGGCCTATACAATTCATTTTAAGATTCTGAATGTTGTTCTGAGTCCCCTCAAAGCATCTTTTGTTCCTCTCAATCCAAATTGACCACCAAATGCATGCCGGGACGATCTTCCATTTTTCTTCCTTCTTGCTCACATTACCATCCATATTCTAGCATATTAGAACATCTGCAATGCTTCCAGGTTTCACCCAACTAATCCCTTTCAAACTGATGAACATCCTCCAAAGCTGGTCTGTCCATTTGCAGTGCAAAAAAAGATGGTTGATTGTCTCAGCTTGTTCCCCACATAAAAAGCACCTAGCGGTTAGTCGGTGACCCTTTTGTTCAGATCATCATGAGTTAACATTGCTTCTTTGGCCAAAAGCCAGATGAAACAGTTAACTTTGTAGGGAATTTTTGGTTTCCGTATCATCTTACAATGCCAATCTCTTTCCTTCACCACTCTTACATTTAGCTCCCTGTATTTGACAGAAAAAATTCCCTTACTGTTTCAGTTCCATTCTAGTCTATCCACTTCTTCGGTCAGATTGTTGAATCTTGCTACTGAGTTATAGAAGTCTGTTATTCTCCCAAACTCCAAACCATTCAGAGGTCTCCTTAGATATAGATTCCATCCTTGTCCAGTCCACATCATGGCAACTGTGGCTTGTTGTTGCTGGCTTAGAGTGTATAGCTTCGGATGTTGTTGTTTCATTGTTAAATGCCCTTCCCACTTGTCATGCCAAAAAGAGGTTTTCTACCCATTTCCTATCCTCACCTTAGTTCTAATCTGCATCATTGGCCAAAGATTCCTAATGGCTCTCGAGACTGAACATCCATAGGGTGTTGTGACATTCTTAGTTATCCAATTATCTTCCATACCATACTTTGCAAGAATGGCTTCTTTCCACAACATTCCTTCTTCAGTAGCAAATTTCCACTACCATTTCATCATCAGGATTTGATTCTGCTTTTTCATATTCCTGATACTTAGACCTCCTGCTTTCTACCCATTTCCTATCCTCACCTTAGTTCTAATCAGCATCATTGGCCAAACATTCCTAATAGCTCTCGAGACTGAACATCCATAGGGTGTTGTGACATTCTTAGTTATCCAATTATCTTCCATACCATACTTTGCAAGAATGTCTTCTTTCCACAACATTCCTTCTTCAGTAGCAAATTTCCACTACCATTTCATCATCAGGATTTGATTCTGCTTTTTCATATTCCTGATACTTAGACCTCCTGCTTTCTTGTTCACTAACAGCTCCTCCCACTTGACTAGGTGATACTTCTTATCTTCATTCCCCTGCCATAAAAAGTTCCTTCTATGGACATCTATTTTCTTGCTAACACTAGCAGGCATTGGGAAAATGGACATCAAGTAGGAAGGCAATGTGTCTAATACACTGTTTACTAGGGTTAGTCTGCCTCCCCTGGAGAGGTATTGACTCTTCCAATTTGTAAGCCTTTGTACATTTTTCCACCACCCCATTCCAAATTGTTGCGGACTTACATTTAGCACCCAAAGGCATTCCAAGATATGTAGTTGGAAGCTCCCCTACTCTTCGTCCTAATTTGCTTGCTAGAGCATCTATCTCACTGACTCTGTTGATAGGGATATAAAACTCTTCCCCTAGTTTATATGTAACCCAAAGACTGCTTCAAAAATTATGAAGATGACCCTCAGTATCATAACTTGTTCCGCTTTTGTTTCACAAAATACTAAGGTGTCATCTGCATACTGTAAGTGTGTTACTTCTATACTATTTGTCTCGCTCAACTTGAAACCTCTAATTCACCTTTTCCCTCGTGCTTTATTTAGTAGATTGCTCATGCCCATCATTGCCACTATGAAAAAAAATGGAGACAAGGGATCACCCTGTCTCAAACTTCTCTGGGATGAAAAGAATCCATTTGGTTCCCTGTTTATTAGCACTGGGAATTTGACTGTGCTAATGCAATGCTCTATCCACTTGATCCCTTTTGTAATGCTTGCATTAACAATGCTTGTATTAATTATGCTTGCATTAATTATACATAGATTATTACTTATGCATTGTTTAGATTGGTGTATTATTAATAGCATGCATTGCATAAAAATATGTATTTCCAATGATATCCTCGACAATTATGATGGAAAAGATGTAAAAAGGATTTTGAGGGGTTATTGGGTCTTTAACCATGATAATGCATGCATTAAATCCCCTTGCATTACTAATACCTAGAAATCCATCATATTAGTAAATAGTAATACACACCTTAATACACAATAGCTATACATAGCATAAAAAAGTGTACCAAACAAGGTATTACTATGCATGCATTATTTTTGTTAATACACTCTACCAAACGACCCTTAAAGGGGAAAAGAAACCCCTATTGTCCATCTTCCATTGCATTGTTCCTCTCTCCTCCTTTTTGAAAGTCACCAGCGCTTCACTTCAGATCAGTACTTTGTACACAAAGCCATCGCTGGTGACTTTTGCTATTCTATCATCTTGTCTCCCTTCACCTTGATGTGTGCCCAGTGTAGGTGAGTTTTAAGGGTTGTTTCTTCCTCTGTTTCAATGAAGCCCCCCACATTGATCGCTGATTTTCTTGAAATCTTATGGGACCATAGGCTCAGGGGTAAGCCTAACACTCTTATCCACACCCAATCTCTCACTATATCTTTTGGCCAGCAACCTGTGGTTGGTCTCCACCAATCTAGGTTTAGATTCATCTTTTTCCAAACCCATGTTCCGGGCATGACATGCTCTGCTGCCACTTTTGTGGGAAACTTGATAGAAAGTGCCTGTCATTCATTACGAAGACGCTGACTCCTATGGCTGACTTCCAAGTGTTGCAAGCCGGCCTTACATCATTGAGAATTGGGATCTCTCGAAGTGGGTTCTGGAACTTGCCGACAGCGCATCTATTGAGAAGGTCTCTCTGATGTCGGTGTTTCATTCGTCACTCTTATGCTAGCACCTTCCACCTGTAAATGCACCTTCTTTGTGGATTCTGTCGTCCATCTACTGTTACGTATTGCCTCCCTGAAGGATGTTCCCAGTGGCTTCCCTTTGTTTAATAGTACTTTCTGCTCTGTTGTAGGCTCATAGGTGATTTTGCTATTTTATGAGCAATGTTTCCCCATCTCCCTTTGTATGAAGATTCCGGTGTAATAGTGCCTGTTTTGTTTTGTCCTTCAATAACAATGAAACTGACGTATCTGCCATTTTCATTGTATTTAAGGGTACAAAAGAATTCTGAATAGAGGTCCTTTACATTTCATCTTTTAACAGACTTCCCTTGGACGTTTGATGCCTCAATAAATACTGATATCAGCCATCTCAGCAGTTTAATGCTAATCTTCACTCTCCTCATTAAATTCCTGCTGCGTTCGGTCCACTCTATCATGTATCTGCTCCTTCTTTACATCTGATGATTTCATAAGACTTGAAACTCGTGTTGTAGTGTTATCCCCCATTGATACGGTTCCGGCCATGGTTGCCAGAAAGAGATCCCTTGGACGTGAAATAATTTGACTTTAGGTTGAAAGTTGGCTGACCTCGAAATTCGTGTGGGAGAGCATTCTCTCTTTCATCTTTACCTTTTCTAGACATTTCTTATGGTTTGCTGCTAGTTTTACAAAGTGCCTTTGATTTCTCATTGTTCTATTGGAGGCATTCAACCTGGTTCTTTTCTCTGTGTATGTTATTGATTTCTAATTGCTTTTTCTTTTTCAACAGTGCCATCTTGTTTGCTTTAATCCTCCATCTCATCCTGTAATTCAATTGTTACAACAGTGGTTTATTGGGCATTGTTTTAGCATCTACAAATTTTAATAATAATAACCAGGTTCTGATCCCTACCAAATTTCTTACTGCTAATTGTTTGTGTGAACCAGGCTTCAACCCTGAACTACTTGGTATTACCCTCTATGTAAATTTTAAAAAATGATTTTTCTGGAATGATTGACATACTTGTGGCATTTCCTATTTGCGAGAACTCTCTACTATAATATACCTAAATAATATGTTAGCCAAGGTATTATGTCCCACTCTTGGCTTGCTGGCCATGTGACCAACATTTAAATGCAGGATGCTGTCAAACATACAGTGGGAAAGTTTCTGGAATATGTAATGGAGAATCATCGTGTTAGTAGGGAACCTGCAACAATTCTACAGGCTTTCCAGTTATCTCTGGTCAGTATCTTTTTGTCTCCACTGCTCAGCCTTTCTGCTTGCATCTTTCTAAAAATTTATTTGTCAGTGGAATCGATCCTTCTCTTCATTGACTATCTTAATAGTTCAGGTAAACAATTATCAAGTCATAATAATTAGGAATCTAAAAAATGAGGATATTATTTTTATAAATTTCATGTAGCTCAATATTCTTATATTTAAGACCCTTTTATTAATATAAAGTCGATAAGAAGCTAAGTTGCTCGGACTCGGGTGCGGGTGTCCGATATGGGTGTGGATCTAGAGGTCGGATCCTCTATGAACTAAATTTTAAGATTCGGTGATATGGATCCATGTCTGGATACGGGTGCGGGGATTTGGCTAAAAACAGAGTTATAAAACCTAAATTTTGAGATATTATGTAGAGAACTCGAGGAGAAAATCATGATCAAGAGGAGAATCTTGGAAGAGATAAAAGGAAAGGGATTGGCGACAAAATATTATATATTCAAGGTATTCCATTTTCATCAATTTCAATTTATATATAAAAGGAAGGTTTTGATTACAGAAATCATTAAATCTGTCCAAAATTTCTCCCTCGAATTTGGTCAAAGTATCCAAAACCGGTTGACCAAATCGGGTACGGATTCCACACCCACACCCATGTCGTGTCGATACGGGTGCGGCACCGAAAGTGAAGAATCTCAAGGCACAAACACTAGGTGGTTTCTTACCACCTATCCAAGCTTTGGTGACCCAATACCTGTGTGGGTGGGAGGTAACAAGCTACCCATGGAATTAGTCTAGGTGGCACAAGCTGACCAGGTCACCATGATTATGAAAACAGTAAATAATAATACACTGTTTGATTGGTGTTTTTGTTTCCTACATAACTAATATGCGTATGTTATGTAGGACTATTGTATTGAGAAAATTCTCTAATATGCCATCAAACTTTGAGAAAAGGCTCATTTATGCCTTCATTTGAAAGTTTGGCTGATCTATGCCATTTCCATATGAGAAAAGGCTCATCCATGCCATTATGTGTTAACTGAAAAATGTATTGATTTTGCTTAACTTTTTTTGACATGTTAATCTTTTTTTTTAAAAGGAAAAAGGCTCAAATATGTCATCAAACTTTGAGAAAAGGCTCATCTATGCCATTCGTTAAAAGTTTGGCTCATGTATGCTATTTCAGTGAGCAAATAATGGCATTAATGAGCCTTTTCTCAAACGAAAATGAGATAGATGAGCCAAGCTTTTTATGGATGACCTAAATGAGTCTCAAAGTTCGATGACATATTTGAGCCTTTTCCCTTTATTATTTTATGTGGAAAAAAGTTGGAATAGGAATACAAGGATTAGTATTACACAGATTAAAACACTCCTAATATGTCCAAAATAACCAACATGTATTAAATCATCATTTTCTATAAGTAAGCAATACACATCTTAATACCTGCATAACAAAAAGCAATACACATCTTAATCCACAATCCCTGCATTATTAATCTCCGCACGTTGTCTCTACACCAAACTACCCTTAGTGTGCTTCTTGCTTCAAGCAAAATCATCTTTCCTGTCGCTGTGATTCTTCTTATTTGACATTTACTGTGAATTCTCAGTGTTGGGTTGCAGCTTCAATCTTAAAGCAAAAAATTGACAAAGAGGAGACATTCTTGCTAGCCAAGCAGTACTTACAATTTGGATGCACCGAAGAAGAGACAAACAATGTCTGTCTGAAGATCCGTTCCTTGAAAAAGTTGTTCCTGCACCGGTTGGATCAAAATGATAATGCTTCAAGTTCTTCTAAGTGTTCTTTATTAGCTGCCAGAACCGTTGCAGAAAAGCCATCAACAGGAAGCATGTCACAAGTTGTGGAATCTCCCCAGCTGAATGTGCAAAAGGAAATGGAAGAAAGATTGCAAGGTAAAAAATTATACAGGGAATGCATTATGACGCCTAAAAAAGAACTTGTGGATATTGAACGGGAAACTTTCATTAAGGAAGTCCAGTGTAGATGTGAGAGGCGAATGTCAAACCTGGTACAAAAGCAAAAGGAGGAAATTGAAGAGTTCCAGAAAATATGGGAAAAGAAGAAGGAAGAGCTTGTGCAGGATTACAGATTGCAGTTTGCTGTTCTTCGGTCTGTACATGGTAAGACTGCTGTAATGAAGGATAAACTAAAAAATTCAGAAACTGAATTTTCAAGAAAAATGCAAGAGCTCAAATACAGCAAGGATCAGAAACTTAAAGAGCTTGAGGTAGAACACTCTGCTATGAAGAACAAGGAAAGGCAAAAGGCTTCTTTGTGGTTGGCCGAAGCAAATTCCTTTAGGGGTGTTGGATCTCATCCGATAGATGGCATAGGGTGCTCTCAGGAAAATGTAAATGTCTCACTCAATTCTCCCAAGACTGTTCACCCTGTAACTGGACATCATGTTAAGGAACTGAATGCAGGTAATATTTTGGATAACACGCAGTCTGATGTACTTGCATCTACTTCTGATGAGTCGGATATTCTTCCTATTGAATCTACAAGTGTTTTAACAACTCCAGCAACAGAGGACCAAGCTGGGGTCAAGTCTGTCGATGGAGGATTGGCTATATCCAAGCGGTCTAATGAAGTGGGTGATCCAGATGTACCTTCATCTACTTATGACAAGTTGAATATTCTTCCTATAGAAGCGACAAATGTTTTAACAATGCCAGCAATGGAGGAGCAAGTTGAGATTGTGTCCATGGCTGAAGTGTTGGTTGCTAAATCCAATCAGCTAGAGCCTAATGAAGGAGGTGATTTATGTTGTAGTTCAGAGGGAATTGGAGCACTGGGTGCTAGATCCAAGAAGCCCAATGAAGTAGGTTATCCAGACCTACCAGCATCTACTTCCAATGAGTCAAATATTCTTCCTGTTGAAACATCAAATGTTTTAACAATGCCAGCTATGGAAAAGCAACTTGAGATCGCGTCCACAGCTGGTGCGTTGGTAACCAAATCCAACCTGCCTAAAGAAGTCGGTGATTTTGGTGGTAGTTCAGAGGAAATTGGAGCATTAAGTGCTAGTTCCAAGCAGGCTATTGAAGTAGGTGATCCAGATGTACCTGCATCTACTTCCAATATGTCAAATATTCTTCCCATTGAAGGTTCAAATGTTTTAACTACGCCAGCAGCTGAGGAGCAAGTTGAAATCACCTCTAGCACTGGAGCATTGGTTGCTAGATCCAAGCAGCCTAATGAAGTGGGTGATTCAGGTGGCAGTTCAGCGGAAATTGTTTCTGTGTTTCCTCTGCCTCATGAAGAACATACTGAGGTTCTATTAGAGGATCCACCTAGAGAACATTTGTCGGAGGTATCTGGACTGGGTTTTGTTCTGGGGAATGATAATTCAGAAGTAAATGTTACTGAAGAATTGAATACGGAACATGATAGTCCGGAAAATAATTCTCATTTGCTAAATGATGAAGATAACCCGAGAGATGCAGTTAGATCCACTGATACAAACTCAATTTCTCCTCTGAAATTGGTAGTTGACTTGCCTTTGGTAGAAGCAGTTCTTTGTTCTGATGATGGTTCTTTGACTCAAAATCAAGTAAGTGGCCTTTGTTCGAAATTTATATGGTGTTTGTATTGTGTTATTGTGTAGAACATCTGGGTTCAGAATCTGGGCACAGGTATATATGATCTTCCTAGGAAAAGTAAAAAATGTCTCAAATTGCAAAGACATGCTCTGTTTAGATAATTTTGAGCTAGTAATTGGCAAGTTATCTCTTAGTTTTGTTCCAAGCTGTAGAACAGGTAATTTGTACCAATTTGTCGGTGACTTGCAGTTCTACCCTCCAAAAAACACATGTATTTTTTCCTGATATATTGTGGAAAAATATTGGGTGTTCCGTATTGATGATTTTGCACTTAAAACTGGATCAGCTAAATCAGTTTGAATGTTTCCAGTTTTCAGGAGATAATCTCTCTCATGAGATGCCACTCCCAGAAAATCAGAGGGGAACTCAAGTTGAAGTTGATGCCGGGCAGTATGGAACCAACAGTTCTGATGCTGTGTTAATTAGTAGTTCTGAGCAACAGCTGCCAGCTTCTGATGGTTTTTCGCTTGCTGCTCACGATCCACCGAGCGACATTATGCATGATACCCCTAATGATGGAAGGAGCTTTATGCCAAACCTTGGATCTTCTCATCATTTGGATGGGGAGACGATGGAACCTTTACAGGCAGGTGGTAATTCGGACGAGGATCCATCTGTCTATGTTGAGAATTTCTCAGAAGTCAGTAGAGCGGATCCTCAACCGATTTCAGAACAGGGTGCATCTTCCCATAATATTGGAACTCCAGTTCAACTGCCAGGTTCCACTGAGCTTCTTAGTCGAGCAGTCCTGCAACATAACAGTAATGCTGCCGTTGTTCAAGGACCCAGGAATATACCAGTTCATCCTGACCATCAGATGGCCACTTGGAATTCAACTCTTCCTTTCAATGCTGATCCTCTGCACAAAGATTGGGAAAGGATACATAAAGAAAGAGAACAAGGCACCAAGATTCTTGAGGACATGGTTAATTCCAATTTTGTTCTTTTTGATTCTTTGCTCCTAGTCCTTTATTTCTTAAAGTTCTTCTCTTTTTTAACAGAAGTTGCGTCTGAGATCTGATTGCGAGAAGGAGATAGAGGAAATGATTGCCCAAATCCGTAAGAAATATGATCATAAACTTCAAGAGGCTGAGGCAGCATTTCTTCGGAAGAAGAAAGAACTTGATGTTAATCAGAACAAAGTTCTCATGAATAAGCTCTTGGCAGATGCTTTTAGATGCAAGTGCATGAATCTTAAACCTTCGGGGTTCTCAGGCATGCATCAAGGTATGCAATTAATGTTGGTTATGCATTTCCAATGAGTAGTCAAGTTTTCTTGTCATAATTTTGAACGGACAGTTGCGTCCAGATTTTACTTGGAGTACATTTTTAATTTCCTTATAGGGGTCTCCCATTACATATATCATCAGGGTGATAGAAAAATGGTGTTAATTTTTGCAACTTTGCTAGGTTATACAAGTCAGGCTAGTAATTTCTCAAGTAAAAATATCTTTTCTTGTGTACTGAAGTATTATTGTTCTTTGTAGTTGTGCCTTCTAGTTATTTGCAGCATCTCCATCAGGTATCCCAGCAGCCTAATTTGAGGTCTTCTCCTGTGACTGGTTCATCTTCAGCTAGCCAACAAAGTTCTGTCCCAGTTTCTTTGAGAGCTTCCTCTATCACCAGTTTGTCTTCAGCTGGCCAAGCACAGGTTAGACAGGAGACTTCTGTCCCCTCTAATCGTTCAGTACATTCTGGTGGGATTTCTCAGCCTACAGTAAGATGTGCACCAGTTACTGGGTTATCTTTAACTGGCCAACCTGCACCTACTCAGCAGACAGTTGCTGTTAGTCGTTCAACAGCACATTCTGCAGGAACTCCTGGCAGGCCACCTCTCATCTGTGCAATTACCCCTTCCACTGGGAATCTTAGGGTAGCTAGCGAGATCCGTGCTCCAGCCCCCCATCTTCAGCCTTTCAGGACTCCTTCATCCATGTCTTCTAGCAGCAGCCCGTCAACCATTGCTCATAGTATGCAAAATCACCCGCAGTCCACTTACATGGCTGCATCATCACCCTCACTTCCCCGATTAACTTCTCTGCAAACATTATCACCATCCCCATCCCAACGTCTGCAACATCAGATACCTATACCAATGGTTCCACAGTTAGCTGTAGATCTTTCTAGTTCTCGGAATGTGCCTCCGCAGCATGACATTGGTGGATTGCCTGCTACACGAAATCCGTCTATCTCTGCTCAGGAATTGCTTTTTAATGTGGAGAGTCAACCTCATGCAAACAGGCCGAACATTCTGCCACCTTTACCAGATGTGGACCCTGACTTTGATTTATTGGACCTATCTGAATTTCAAATACTGGATAGTATACAGGGAGTTTCTACTTCCTCAGCCGGAGCTACTAATGTAACTGATGTTGTCTGTGTGTCTGATGATGACTGATCTGTTGACAATGAAGTGTATTTTGTTGTCCGTGGGTCAGTTTTATCACATGTTTGTAAAAATGAATTTAAGAAAAGATCAGAAAGGAAGAGAAAGGTAAGAGGAGGAAGCTTAACAAGATTAAATAGGATTTGCATGTCCTTTCCCCCTCCCCCATTTTTTTCCTCCAGGATTCCATGAATGCGGCTGTAAATGGATCATTAATCTTTCTATATTATAATAATAGGACGCAATATAATCTCTTCATGTGTTCTCTCATTTGTTGTGTGTTCTATATAGATGTTTGGTTTATACATGCTAAGAGGCTTTTGATTGATGTTTGAGTTGTACTTGGAAAAAATGAGTATTTGAAGTTGAAAGGTATGATTGTGAGAGCTGAAATTGTGTTCGACTTGAACTTCACTTGAAAATTGAAGATTTTTGTAATCTGTTTTTCACTTGAAATATTCCTTCAAACTAATCACTTTTAAATACTGAAATTCTATTTAGGCCCCAAGTTTCTGGTGCTGCGGTTCAATGTTAGTTTACAAAGTCTGCTCTAAAGAATTTGTTTGGATTGATTTCCAAGGTAAAGACTTCAAGCTGATCTAAGAACACTATAATATGCAGTTCTGGCTAAAACGGAAATTAACATAAAAAGGGATTTAACCATTCATTTAGGGTGTGTTTGTGATGAAGGGAAATGTTTTTAATGAAATAATTTATTCAGTAGGTAAGCACAAATTAGTGTTCCAAAAATATTTATACGTGGGAGTTGAGACTCTGGTGGTAGGGAGGAGACTGAGTTTGGTTGGGGGTGGTGGGGGGGGGGGGAGTGGAGTGGAAATACGTATCATAAAACTTTTATTTTCTTGTTTTCCTAAAATATATTTTGATCAAATATGAGAAAAAATTCATCTATACCAAAAACACCCTTAAGGTTTAAGACCTAGGCATCTTTACAAGGGGAAATTAAGTAGGCGTTTGGCCGTGCGATGTCATATCACAATATAAAATCGTGAGATGAAATTAACATTTGAACATGCGATTTTACGATGATTTCATATCATGAATGAAATTTCATATTCTCCAAAACTTATGATTTGAGATTTTTTCAAATATAAAAATTGAACCACAAGTTTATATTTTGTTAAAACAACTCCACATTTATATCTACTAACCATTTATTTCATATGTAAATAAAAATTTTATAATCATATCATTACCTTATAAAAATTAATATTCTCACCAACATAAAACTTATTATTACATTAAATTTGGTGAATATAAATGATAAAATAGGAATTGATTTGGTGAATATAAATAAAAATGGATGGAGTAATATTTTTTTGTAAATAAATAAGAATGGAGACATATTACTTTCCAAATATTTCTCTAAATACTTCTATCCATGACAAGCTGTGTTATCGTTGGAGAATTCTCACGTCTAGAATTAGAGAAATCAAGTTAATTATACTTAGAGTTCTACTACAATACATATTACTACTATGATAATAAAGCAATTATAAATAATCTAATTCTGGTCGTAACCTAATTGTAGTAGCCTAGTTGATATAAGTGACCTAAATGTAGAGTGACTCTAACTCCGTCGTACACGTTGATTGGACTAGGTTGTTCAACCTGGTCCGTGTCTTCAGTTTCCTTTATCTTCAACACTGCCCCTCAAGCTAGAGAGTGGAGGAACAGTTACTCCTAGCTTGGTTTGAAAATCCAGCAAAAACTTATTTTGTCAATGCTTCGGTAGGAATGTGATGTCAAGTCGTTGCTTGTGGTAGTTCATTTGAACATTGATACGAGTAGTCCCACTAGTAAAAACATTTAAGAGCAATATGCATATTTTTACCACAGATTTGACATGACTCAATATTGTTCCTCTCCTTATTTCTACTTGAAAAACTTTGATTGTTCGTAGAACCTGGTCCATTTTTTACTGTTTTAAGAACCTGTTCCTTGTCCAACAGGCTTTAAACCTCTTCCTCTGGAGTTGATGGTGTTGTTTTCTCTTCCCTTGCCTCTTTGGACAGAGAATACCATGTTATGATTTTATTGTGGCGTCTATTCTTTATCTTCCCTTATATCAAAACCCGTGAAAGCACTAACAACTTGATTAAGGGTGGGATATGATGTCTTACCTAATATGATAGTCATGAAGGTTTTGTATTTGAGACCTAAACCTCTAGTAATATTGATTTCTTTGTTATGTTCATCCACAAGTTTGTGAATGGCTGCAAGGTCATCACATATGCCTTTGAATTACTTAATGTATTCATTAATCCTTTAAGTTTCTAGCCTAACACTTTGTAGTTGTTGTTTAAGCTGAAACTTTTTATCTTTTGTTGCTTGAAGATAAACTTCTTCCAAGCATTCCGACATCTCCTTGGCAGTTGAGCAGCCCACAATTAGGTACATGTTTTCTTCTATCAAGGTGTCTGAGATCCAACTCCTTAGCAACACATTTTTCTCTTTCTAGTCATCAATGTTGCCACTATCTTTTGCATCCTTCTTAAACGCTACAACTTTCCCAGCAATCTGTTTAGTGGAACAACTACTTTTACTTGGTTCATTCTCTGTGATGAGATAGGTTAGTCTCATCAAGTGAATCAATTGAGATATTTGTGTCCTCCAAATGAGATAGTTTGTTGGCTTAAGTTTAATGGAGCAAGCGACAATGAGTTGGTGAAGTGAGGAGGTCGACATAGTATTGGTAGAGGGCGTCATTGTATTTGAACGTGTGATTCTTTTTTTTTGGATCAATATTCAGAGAGCGGAAGAGCTTTTAAGCTCTGATACCATATAGAATTCTTATGTCTAGGATTAGAGAAATCAAGAATTGTATTGATGATTAAAATTGTAGAGTACATGCTCCTTATATAGGGAGAGAATTGTAGAATTCTAAGTTAAGTATAATTAGAATCCTACTACAATACATATTAATACTATAATAATAAAATAATTATAAATAATCTAAACCTAGTACAAGAAGTAGCAGCCTAGTTGATGTAAGTGACCTAACCTAAAGTGACTCTAAGTCCACCGTGCACATTAATTGGATGTCACAACCCAGGGGTACACGTACCCTAGATGTAACATGACGTACTTGACCCCGAAGGGGTCTCATACAAGCCCTTAGAATATCACAACATAAAATAATAGAAAAGTATGAAAATTTTAAAAACTTTATCCATACAATCGAAATCTTTTATAAAAGCAAGTGGAAGTCTTACTACACTTTGTCTCAAACCATCTTATACAACTTTTGAATAAACTCTTGGGACATTGCCCATGCAATAGTCTCAAAACATGGAAATAAAAGACATAAAGGAAGTAGTGGCTTTGTCCTCGAAGCTATGAGGACTCACCAAATCTTCAACTCCTTGCTCCTTAGAAACCTATCCTCAAGAATGGAACTCAATCATCGAACCCTACATTTGATAAGAATGTAGGTAAAGTATGCGTTAGTACAAAATGTACTAAATATGTTAGCTAGCATAACATCTTAAGAGCATAACATAAGGGTTAGTCAAAATAAGACATAATCCATACTTATAAGAGATAATAATATGGTCATAAGCATAATTTCCAACATGAGCATCATATAAGTATTATTCAACTCTTAATCTTCCATATCATAAGAGAACTACTTCTCAAGTAACCTCAAAGCATACTTGTGCAATGCATGAGTAAGACCTCATAATCCCATCCAAGCTAAGTATCCCTTTTTGGTCATCATAAACATAGTCTATATCCATATTCAAGTCTTAGGCTTTCATATCATAAGAGCATTATACTCTTAAGTAACCTCAAATCATACTTGTGCAATGCATGAATGAAACTCCATAATCCCACTCACACTAAGCATAACCTTGAACTCATCATAATCATACTTACCCTCCTTTGGTCTCATTCTTAGCTTACTTCATATAGACAAGGAGACTATCACCTTTAGTAAATCATATCATGGAAGGCAATTATAGCAACAACCCAAGCTAAACATATACATCATATAAGAGAACACTTCATAAGTAGCTTCAAGTCATACTTGTGCAATGCATGGATAAGACCCCATAATCCTGCCCACACTACGTACCACTTTAGGCTATCATACTCAAATGACTATTATTTATCATTCTAGACTACCAAAGAATAGCACATTATTAGGCTAGACCAAGCTATCACAGGAAATATATTAATCATGCAAGTCCAAGATATTCTAGGAGGGGTACAAATGTTCCATCCTAGATACCATGCAAACATTCTATGATGCTAATGCAAGCTACCCTTAGGAGAGTATGAATTCTCAATCCTAAGCTACCATGAAATGGTCTTGGCCTAACCAAGTTATGCTATCATGAAGGCATTCTAAAATGCTAGTTCAAGCTACCCTTAAGAGAGTATGTGTCCTCAACCCTAGGCTACCATGACTACCACTAACTCAAGCTACCATGGAAGAATCCTACAATGCTAATTCAAGCTACTCTTAGGAGAGTATGGTTCCTCCATCCTAAGCTATCAATCTTGGTCTTGTATTACCAAGTCAAGTTGTACATGAAGGGATCATATGTCACAACTTCAAGCTATTCTAGCCTAACATGCTTTGATTCATTTTAGGTGATTAACTCTTCAACCTAGAATCATTCTATGTGAGAAGACCTTTCACATTCTACATACATATCTAGATTACAGGACATTCTAGTCATAAGCTTCATCTTTAAGCAATTCTAATTATAATTCATCATATAGCCCCAATCTAAATCATTACTAGTCATGATCCATCATATATACTTTACCCTAATTTAATTCATGTTCACATACTTCTATTCTTGAACAATCAATTCTAGAAGATCACCTATGAATCTTCAATTTCACTTCACAAGGCATAAACCCACAGTCTTCAATTAAACTAGGGTTAGCCATGAAAAGCATATAAATTCATCATAATATCATAATTTAATGCTAAATCAATCATAAATAAGTATTATCCACTCAATTGGAATCATACTCAACACTACCCACAATATAGAAAGAAACCCTAGCTAGAATTGGGGGTTTGTCTTCAGAATTGAGGGAAATCTAGGGGGCTCTATGGATGGAAGAATTCATAGATGAATAAGCTAACATACCTTGATTCAAAGCCCTCACAAAAGCTTGCAACAATGGAGGAATTTGCCCTAGCTTTCTTCTTTTCTTCTTTTTCACTTTCTAGAGAGAGGATTTTTGGGAGGGAATTGGGTCTCTTTTGTGAATCT